CGAGTTTTACAGGAAGTATATTATGTGTGTACGCCACTGACCTCTATATATACAAGTACGCTGTATACATAGAGGTCAGTGGTGTACGCACTAAGATTACTTTGGTCCGCATATTATTTCAATAACAGTGATACTATCGATTTCAAAACAATTCTATGCTAAACACCTGATTAAGTGTTTGTTAAATTGGTTTCATATATACCGTACATAAACACTCACACCTGTCACTCATGGGGCCTACCCCCAGAGACTACGGACTTCCATTTGGCACGATCTTAAAAGCTAAATAATAAGCTAAAAAGCTGATCGTAGATTAGTTTTAGTACTGTATGCGCAAATCTCAAACGCTGCACAATTTTAAGATGTACTTACGCGACCAGGTTTTTATACCAGGTATTTACTTGCAAGTACGCCGACCAAATGCCGACCAAAAGTAGTCGCAAGATTGCATAGTATTTGAATATTCACGCTCTGTTGACACTAGACGCGATTCTGCTCCTTATTTCTATTCTGTTACGGATCAATGTTTTATCAAGGTATATTTACTTTAAAGTATTGGAAGTATTTTTTCTTGTTAACGCGATTCTTCTCTTTATTTATATTAAGTTACGGATTAATGTTCTATGCAATTATTTTTCTTACAACAAGGCTTGAAAGTTGGAACTTTTAAAGGTTTGGAAGTTTTTTTTTGTAAACGCGATCCTTCCTCTTATTTATATTAAGTTACGGATCAATATTCTATGCAAGTATTTTCCTTTAAATAAGGCTTGAAAGTATACTATTTTAGCATATGCGATTGCACTCGTTATTTATATAATCTTACGGATCAATTTTCGATGCAGTAAGAAAATACTTGAAAGTATCTCGAACCCTGGTTTTTGGCGCTAGTATCTGAAGGTGGACGTACTTGGAAGCCCTGGTACTCGATTTTACAAGTACGACCCATGTCTCGATGCCGTTAAGTCTCTATCACTTTAAGTTAAAGAGACTGTGACACCACAAGGCTTAACGACCTCTTAAAATTGTGTATCGTTTGACTATTTGGCTAGCAGTCGCCAAGTAACTCTGGTGCTGATTGAAAATTGCCAATTACAGATCTCAAGTTGTTTTTATTAATTATTTATTATAGGCCATCAAATGTCTACCGCTGAACAATAGGCCTTCCGCATAGCTTGCCTCACATATCCCCTCTATGAGGCAATTGTCATAGTAACCGCCGTTTATTGTCTACACAGCATCCTCATCTTTTGTAATTATATCAATATCATTAACATTACTATTATTCCTTTTAACCACTCCTAGTAAACTTAAAACGCTTGTGTTAGGAGTGGTTCACGACAGTATTCGGATGGTGGATTCGAACCTTTTGAGTTCGTGGGCCGAACCCTGCTTATTAGTCTAATGACGCTTGATGATCTAGTTTGGATGTATAAATATATAAAAACTTCATTATCTTAATTAAAATTGAAAAAATCTTATAAAATCTAACTATTAACAATCAGTGTTGCCACCTCTTACATTAATTACGCATCGACATCTAATGTTCCTACTTTTACAATTAAATTGTCAATGTCTTGTTACGGAATTAGGTCCTATGTTTTCGCAAGTGTTCTTAAAGTTGTTGTAACAGTACGTTTGCACTGAGAAACATCTAACACGTGATCTTTTGAAACAAATCGCATAAAATAAATCATACCACATGTTTTGTTGATGGTTGCGTTCGCACTCAAAAAAACTGTGTAAAACTTTCAACAGATATTCAAACTTATCTTTCAACATGACAATATTTCTACAAATTTGTTTTCAAACATTTTGTTTCTGTAGTTATAAAGATATAATATAAGTAGTTAAAATATTTAATGTACAATGCTGTCAAACATATTTCACTACAACATGTTCTTTGACTATGGAAACGCTTTTTGATACATTGACAGAAAACAGTGTTTAAAACATGTTTTTTTTTTGTGAAAATCGCGTCAGTGCAAACTCACAATTACGTTACGCCGTCTAATTTGGCGGGAAATCTCGTATAGTAAAATATTTGGTAAATCCAAAAGTGCACACCTCGAACGCTAATGTAATGTTTTGATTAATCAATTTACTGTTATCAATTACCGAAACACGAATTTCTTTTAAAGCTACATAAAATTGTTTCTGTTTAATTAATAGAATTTATTTTACTGCTTGATACCGGTGATTCGTGTTTTGTTACTAAAAATGTCAATTTACAATAGCGAGATTCAAAAGGCTTCGTTAAGATTAAAATTTAAAGCTAATTAAAAAAACGAAGTGATGAGTTCAGTTTTTCGAAGGAACATACCGACCAATTGATGTCCACGAGAAATTATTTTCAATTAAGTATCTTTTTTTTAAAATAATAATCGTAATAAATAATCTTGTAACTAAGTCAGAAGTATTAATTGAAATCTCCTCTTGCTATTGGGGTACCTTTTTATTATATAAGTGCAATATAAAGCTGGTGGAAGTGATTTAAGTTTTGTTTTGGTGACAATAAAGCAATACTAACTCTCCGCTTCGCGTTCGATCTGTGCAATATAGTATATGTTGATTAGAGCAGCAACATAACTGTCGGATATTATTATTGGATTGAAATAAAATGCCCTGGACGGTTAAGAGCAGCGTCGCTTTTGTACTTGTACTGCACTGTACTGTACTTTTTGTACATTATGCGTGGCTATTACAGCAAGTACCTACTCCTTTTACACAGCGTCCACGCAGCCATATATGTAGATACCATTGTATATGTCAGCACTCAGATCTGATAAATACATATAACTCACATCTATATAAATATATATTATTGAAATGTGCGGTTGTAATGTCAAAATAACAGCTTTTTACTTGATGCACGTTGTGTAAGTACATACGGTAACAAAAAAAAAAAAACATTTTGAAAGATTGCAAGCGAGCGTTATTATATTTACGAATTTGATTTATTGGATAGGGTGACAAACGAGCACACAGTCCACCTGATGGTAAGCGGTTGCTGTGGCCCATAGACATCTACATTTACCCTCAGACACGAATCATAACGCAGATGCGTTGTCACCCCTGAGGACTAAGATCGAATGCCTCGTTTCCAGCAAAAAGGGTTTCCGGTTCCCTACACTCACCATACGAAACACAGCAGCATTAAGCTCATATTTTACGCTTGTATTCTGTGAGAGCGTGGTTGATCCCCGGTCGAGCCGACGCATTCGTGCCACAATTATATTACTAATATAGCTGCAACATGGCTCTACCATCCAAGTATAAAGTATCGTAAACGTGACCGCTAATCATGAGTTCTCAGGTTCGAATCCAGGGTTGAGCCGAAAAAAACAAATATTGATTTTTTCTGTCAAGAAATTTTTAGTAGTACTAGTAAAGTTCCGTTAACCCCCGTGCCTCGGAAAGCACTTAACACCGTTGGTCTTGTGCCTAATCTCCGGCATGTCGAATTGTTATCCCATTGTAATTTGAGAGTGGGGGAATGGAGGATGGCACATGTGCTTGCGCATACGCTCAGGCACTTTAATGGAACGATCCTGGCCTGCGCAGACTAGTCTCCGTTGAAACTGGCCGTCATGAGCCATATCGTTTCAAAGTGATGGTTACCAATAACTCATTCAATTTTTGTCGTGAACCTCTCGTAACATATGCATTTTAAGCTTACTTAGGGGGGTTAACTTGGAAAATTTAATAGTGTTTCTAATATTTTTACCATGTTTTTATTAAATCGTTTTCTTTCTGCCCGGTACAAATTTTGCAATTGATATTTAAACTTAATTTTCGATGAGCTAGAAACTTTAAACTTTAATTAGGTATAATATTATTCAGCGACTAAGGTCGTCCGCCGCTGCTTGGACAACATTAAAGGCGAGAGAGGCGAGATTATTTTGATTTTGAAGCTAAATTCGGTTCCAAAGTTGAGACAAATGTATAAGAATCGTAACGGTCACATTCTTGCAAATGTGGCCGTTACGATTCTGCGATGTTGGACGTCTCGTATTTAAAAAGCATATGTTAATTGTTATATTTTTGTTGTAAAAGTAAGGGTGGCAAATGTGCTCACAGTCTAGCTCATGGTAAGAAAGTGCTTTGGCCCTTAAATACCTACATCTGTCCTAATTTGAATCTAAATGATGCGTTGTCACCTCTGAGGACTAAGGTGGACTAAGGTGGCCATGATTAAAAAAAGGTTTTCGGTAAGAAAAACGAACTAGTTAATCTACACTTTTCTCCAAATTCAAACTAAAAGTTTTGATTGTTCGGTTGGTTGAGATCAAAGTCGACTAAAAGAATATGCTCATTGAGGCCTGTTTTTAAAAGTACCGAAACTAAAAGATGTACCATCTATCCATATTTTTGTGTGAGGCAAATATGATAAAAATATCCTGGTGTTCCTACGAATGCCAGATCGGAAGACCAAAATATCTGAAAAAAAATTGAAAATGTCAGGATTTTGTGGTTGTTTTTGGTCGGAGAAACAAATATTACAAATAAAAATGTTGGAATTACGGCCATCTGGCAACCCTTATGTGCTGTGTTTTATATGGTGAGTGTAGAGAACCGGAGACCCTTTTTACTGGAAACCAGGCATTCCATCTTAGTCAACAGAAGTGACAAGGCATCTGTAGCCTTCTTTGAAGCAGGTGTCCATGTGCTCCAGCAGCCACTTACCATCAGGCGGACTGTAGGTTCCTCAGTCACATCAATTGTATTTTAAAATAAGAATACCTCACCGGCACGCAGTCTGCTAATTAATTGATGAGGCTCGAACGACTGAATGGTTAGGAAATCCATCCAAGCATAATAAGGGTGGTGATAGGAAGCAACTTTACCAGTTAGAGTGTATCCTAAGCGCCTCCTTAGCGTGGTGCCTGTCAGCTAGCGCATTCTTGAAATGGATTATGCCCAGCGGTGGACTTAAAGGCTGCTCTTTTGTAACTATTCGATATTGTTATTTCATACATTACATGTTCCGTTCTTGTTCGCAGAGTACACCACCAATGTTGAACGACTTGGCGTTTTTCATGTCCGGCGGTCGGTTACGGTGAGGCTAACGTATTTGCTATTTACATTGACAACTGCTTTATTACTTCTGATCGAGGTTGGAACAAGCTGGGCAATGAGGACGATTACAGATGTACTTCCGCAGTCGTTTTCCGTTTTTAATGTTAACGATAGAGATTCACGAGTAATTTTGGCCGATATTGATCAGGATGGCAAATGTCCGAATTACCAACGCTATTGAGATGAGATATGGGCATGGTTTGCATTAAACAAGGGGATAATTACATCTTATCGGACCCGAAAATCAATAATTTTCGGCTGCTGGGATTCAAATCTAGAACTCGCGACTTAGGAGCTAGGTCTCTGACCATTGAGCCAAATAATGGTATATGCCAACACATACCAGTAATAATATATAATAGCTCGTATTAAATTGTGTTTCAAAGTATAATAATACTGGTTTAATGAATAGATATCCATTTTTTTGAAGTTGGTTTTAGAGGTTTAGGGTACCAGGCCCAAAATCATAATTCGTCTGAGTTACCTTTTACCGGATATTTGACTTAACTGGACTACTTTTTCCTACTTTGGGGCATACACTAACTAAAACTCACGGTTTTCCTTTACCACATATTGGCAGGGCCACGAATACTTTTAGACACATTTGTAGCTTAATCAGCTCTGGCCGCCTGGCGTTCCTGTGGGAAGACAGCTACCCCTCTCCCATTTAGAAAAATATGTAGAAAAACAGTGTGCGTCATTTTTAAATTCGCTTGTGCTTTCTTATCTTCGCGTCCGTAATGAAATTCCCCGAGTCTACTACGAGAAGGCTATGAAGGTCGAGAAAGAGAGCCCTCGGATGCATCAGCTTACTCGATTCTGAGTGACAGACGTGCTCTGTTGCTCCGCTAATCACCACACTTCTTCCGTAGACGCACTCTGGAATAGCATATCCTAGAATAGTATTGGTTTTGATTTCTCTCTGCGACTTTCAATTGCTATCCAGCGGTGTTATCCCGCCGGGGTTGAATATCGTGGTAACTTCTTTCCTCAAGATTTCACTCCGTCTTCGGAGTCAGTAGTGGAACACAGCTCTCACCTCTTCCAATCCTCCAATATGCGTTCAGAAAGATTTGTGAGTTCACTAGCAGTGATTTCCCTGAGCCGGTCCGCTTTTTTAGCTCAGACACGTGAATTCCTCTCAGCTTTACCGCAGATGACGAAACGGACGGTTACTAAGGCTCCTCGCCACGGTAATGCGTCAACTAGGTGGTGATGACAAAGTCTATGAAAATCCGGACACGCCGGACATGAATTTCAGCCAGACTCGCCCCCTGAAAAATTAACTATGCTTGGTGAAAGACCTGGCATTGCTGAGTAGGTGTTCATGTTGCAGTAGTCACTTACCATAACGTAGACTGTTAGCTCGTTGATGCGCTCGCACTAAAAAGTTACAGTCGCGATCTGGGTGAACATATGAAAGTATTCTGCATGGCACAGGTCTCCCCTAAGATTTTCTCATCTTTCCAGTATGGAGATTAATATATATAGTAGTAGTTGAGCTTATGAGCCAATGAATCTTACCCTCAGGTGTCAGTCCTGAGAAATGGGATGTCATAACTTACTATCATATGGCCAATTAACTTCTATGTTATTAAAAAGAGGTTGTGGTTTATCTTGTTGAGACTCCTGAGAAATATTATATATTACTGTATAATGCCCAGGATTGGTTTGTCCTGGCTCCGCGTGATTGATTTCTGGATTTCGACAACAGAACAGATCGAGAACAAATAAATCGTTTGAGCCGTTTTCAAGTTTTAGCGAGACTAACGGATAGCAAATGATTTTTATTTGTGGAGAGCAAATATTGTTCATATTTGATTGACGGCTCCGTAGCGCAGTGGCTTTAGCAATGAGTGGCTGCGCCGGGCAGTATTTGTATTACCTACAAATAATTGTTCCTGGTCTGGATATTTCTCCTTGTGCAATTTATGTTTGTAAACTTCCTGCACGATACAGAAGAAAATCCTGGTGTCGTATCGTTTAAAAAGAATATTATCTATGATTTGTCTACGATTTCTAACATAAATCTGGGCGATTTTTTACTTATTTGCTCCAAAGATAATATATTTTTCTCTTTGATTTTAATTTCCGACCGCACTGCACTCATTTTTGGAAGTCACTGATTATTGAAGTGGATATGTTTTGCCCACTCTGAGTTTATACGGTTTGCCATAAATGGCACGTATTCAAGCGAATTGGTGACTGTAGCACCATGACGTCTCCCGTCATTAATCCTGTTCTATTTTGATGTATAAGTACACATTATATACATTATATCTAAAGCCTATAATTAGTGCACTGCTTTCAGCCTCTCCACAGTTAGATTTACCGTTATCAGCCGTGCTTAGAAGACGGATAGGCGGTCTCGTTATTAGAACCTTACGCCTTAGGTGAAAAGATTCCTTTTCTGCCTGAGTATCCATCTGGGTACTTACTACCTATTTCTGCCGCCTTGCAACAATGCGTGATCTGCTGTGTCTAGCCTGAAGGGTAGAGAGCCAGTACAATTAAAGGCTATAAGGCTCCATCTTAGTCATCAGAGGTCACAACGCATTTGAAGTCTACTTTGTTAAAAGTTGCTTGCAGATGTTCATGCAGACGCCACTTATAACCACATGTACTTTAAGTTCATTTGTCACCTCAATTAGAAAATATTCACTGTAGTCACCAGTTTGAATAGTTCTAGGCTAACATTTCATAAGGTGATTTTTTTATAGAATAAGCATGACAAACGAGCACACAGTCCATCTGATGGTACGTGGATGCTGTGGCCCATAGACATCTACATTTATCCTCGAATAAGAATCAAAACGCATATGTCTTGTCACCCCTGAAGCCTAAGATATAATGTCTCGTTTCCAGTAAAAATAGTCTCCGAATCTCTACACTCACCATACGAAACAGCGCAGTATTAAGCTGCTATTTTACGCTGGTATTCTGTGAGAGCGTGCTCCTTTCTCGATCGAGCCGACCCATTCGTACAACAATAATATAGCTGCAGTGTGGCTATACCACGTATAAATATCCTCGCCATCTATTGGAGACAGCGAAGCTTTTCTAAGATATCGTATGATGATAGATTTGACGACTATAACTTAACGTATGGATTGTTAATCGTAATTCCTATTTAAATATTTAATCTTTCATTTCAGCGGCCCAGCGCGAAGGCAAACGTTAATGGAGGAATTAGTTTGGATGATTGGAGGCGTAAGACCAGGCACAGGCGCAGTCACAGCGGGAGCACCTTTCGTGTTCGTGGGAGCGCCAGGAGACTACGTGTTTGGTGGTGAAGGTAATTCTGATAAATATTCTTATTGGTACTTTCTCGGATTCGTAGGATTTACGGATTTAATACGCATTCAGATCCGAATTAATTGTACTGCTGGTACTTGCTGCTAGTGATTAAACTGTACGTGCATCTTCACTGTTTTTCGTAATTATAGAAAAATAACGTATTTATAAACGGGGAGTAAATATGTAAAAAGTAAATAAGTTTTCAATACAGCAATAAAATTCGGTCTTTTTTAATTTTCTGTCATACTTAGAAAATGGCTGAACCTTTTGGTTTTAAACTGATTTAAAGAATTATCACCAGTATTATGTCCAGATTCTGTGATATCAAATGTAAATTATGCAAAACATTGTAAAGTAATACAAGCTACCAAGGAAATAAAACTATAAAAGAGACATTTTATAAATTTTGACATTTAGGCATTGCCGTGGCCTGGAAACTTTTTTGAACACCTTCTCGGCCACACTAATAGTAGTCAACCCCCCCCCAAAAAAAAAAAAAAAAAAAAAAAAGACCCAAACCCCCAAAAAAAAAAAAAAAAATTAGTCTTTCTGCACCATAATATTCCACATTAATTGCGATAATTCAGGCGCATATATGTTTATCTGATAGTTGTTTTTTATTACATAGACACTCATGCCTGTCACCCAGAGGGGTAGGCAGAGACTACAGACTTCCATTTGGCACGATCCTGTCTCTCTCGCCTCCTTCACATCCTATACAGCTAGGCATACATGCTCGTCGGTTAAGGGTACTCGTAATTTGGACCGTTTTCAATAAATCGCCAATTTGGTCGATAAATTTTCGCCTAGGACGTCCCTTTCCGACTCTGCCATTCACTTCTGCAACATAAATTTTCTTTGTCACTCTTTCCTCATTCATTCTTTCCACATGACCAAACCACCAAAGCATTCATAAACATGCTTTCAAAATATTCCTTCCATCTCTTTAAACTCAAAACTTCATCATTCAGAATATAGCCATTCTCATCTCTTATAGCATTCATCACAGGCTGTTTTGAATTTCCCCTGGCAGTTCTTACGAGTTTCCAGAACATTTTAATATTTGCCTGGAAGCTATCCGATATTCTTCTATCATTCTTATCCATTCTTTCTTGCTTTTTCCTTTTAACTACTTCTTTTACTCTCTTATTTAGATGTCTAAATACTGCCTTTTTTCTTTCAATATCATCATTCGTACCGCTAGAATTATCAGCCTTTGTTGTTAGTAAATCTAGCCATGCTCTCTTCTTTGCTTCAACTTCCATACGTATCTCATCATCCCACCATAATGTATTATTTTTCCTTTCATTCTTTCTCTTACTAACACCACATACTTCGGTAGCTGCATCCACTAAACCTTTCTTTACATTTTGCCATACATTCTCCAAGTCTAACTCCTTCATACATAATTCATCCAAACCACTTATATTTTCTTTCAGTCTACATTTGAACTTGTTTTTCTCACCTTCCTCTTGTAACCTTTCAGTTCTAATACGCTGTAACGCAGTGGTAGACACAGATGACCGATGGCGCCAACGCCTGAATAGACCATTAATTCGGCATAAAACCAAATAATGATCCGTTCCTACGTTAGACCCCCGGTAAACCCTTGTATCTACCACTGCGCCCCTCATTCTTTCATCCACAATTACGAAATCTATCATGCTTCTATCATCACCTCTTTCCCAAGTATACGTGTGAATCCTCTTGTGGCGAAAGCAAGTGTTCGTCACAAAAAGATTCTTTTCCATACAATACGGTGAGGAGGCTTTCACCATTTCCACTTATACTTTCATCACCAAACATTCCAAATATATCCTTTCATAACCTAGCCTCCTCACCCCAACCCTTCCATAAAAATCTACTAGCATAATAATATTTTCATTTCCCTTACATTTCATTAACACACCACCATCCTTACCATTTCCCAAAACTGCTTTCGGATATAAGTGCGCTTAGACATGTCTGGAGCGTAGGCCCCTAACACAAACAACTTCTTTAAGCCCACTTTCATTCGTATCTATAGCAGTCTTGGGCTTACACATTCATACTCTTTCACACATAGGCCCATTATTTCTGAAAGGATGATACCTACTCCCGGGCATGCCCGCTCAATCTCGTCTACACCAGACCAGTATGCGGTATATATGCCATGTGTAGTGAAATCCTTCCCCTTCCGTTTCGTCTCATTCCACTTTTCATCCTTCCGGGAGACAGAACGTGACGGGTGGCCTCGTCGCCGGTTTTCCTCCCGGAGATTCTTCGCACCCCTGCCCTATTAAAGGGGCGCCGGAAACTCGGGGCCATTTCTTTTGTTTTGTTCCTCATGGTGCGAAATATGGGGTAGTATATTTTACGCCGATACCACGGCGAGGAGCCGAGTCTGTGCTATCGGCTTGTCGCTTATGTATGGGTGGGCCTAGGATTAGGTGGTCAAAGCCTACGGACGCGATCGACTTATCCCCCTTGTTTTTTATTATTTTTTTATAATAGGGAAATTGGTTATGTACCTGTGACTACTTTAATGATTGCAATAAAAATACAAAATTATAAAATAAATCAATATTTTTATTTTACCAATTACATATCTGATTACGACAAACCATCTTACTCAAGTATTCGGATTGGGTTGAAAAGTATCCAGATATTCGATATTCGACCTAATAAGAGAAAAGTAGCCGAATTGGCCGATTACCTAATAATAGCCGAATATACGTCGCATGTCTACTTATCAGCCATTATAGACTAATCAAGAGTTGACACAGTGTTATTATAAATACCCAATCAGAGCATGATTGGCCATGAAGCTTTCCATCCATTACAGCATATACATGTTCACTGATGAACATAGTCCTCCCCCTACAGAGGGACTAGCTGGCCCGGCAGACATTCTTATGCCCTTTCTTGTTGCTGAGGGCGATATATATGTAAATGAAACTCCATTTACACATATAAACTTTTCTATAGACTTATTATGCGTATGCTAAATTCTCTTTATCACTAATAGAACCAACAGCAACATTAACTAAGAAAATAAATAAAAACATAACCCTTCTTTATCTTCTGTAAGCAGATAAAAAGTTGCCTCGATGTCATACATGATCATTTACTACCTACACACCAAATTTTATGTAAACCCACCCAGTAGTCTGCATGAATCGTGAAGATACAATTTTGCTATAGTTACCACGTTAGGCAGGTAGGTTGGCAACCACAGTTTTTCATTAATTTGGGTTGTTATCGGGAAGATGCTGCGTCCGTCTTCCGTGGCAGTGTATCCTGTCGCTTCCCCGTGGGTGTACCCACTGGACGATTTGGGTAGTAGTTATTCTTACACCGAATTACAAAATTAGTTAACTGAATAATATTTACAATTAATAAAATATACTTTTACTAAATTAATTAAACTACAAATATGTCAATAGATATATAGTTTGAAGATACTTTATTTCAGGGCTGGATGCAGTGGTTACACAGTTACTAGGACAGTTGGAGAATGCAGGCCCACCTCCATTGCCCAGGGACCAGTTGGCTTCACTGCCCAGCGAATCGGTGTCTGCTGACCAGGCCGCTGCCAACACATCTTGCTCTGTCTGCTGGGAGAACTTTTTGGAAGGTATGATTCATGTGTAACTAAATACTAGATTCGCTGACAGAGACATCTTTATTTATTTTTTTATTTTATCTTCAAGGGAAACAAAAATAATTTTAGTCTATTACATAACACATATTAATCTTAAATTTAACAATAAAGTTTCCACTGTTAAGATCTTTGATAAATAAAGAAAACAAACAGGTACTAGAAAAGATAGGAACTGATGAGAGCGAACTTTTAAAGAGACAATTACAAAAAAAAATATAAACATATAAACACTCACGCCTGTCACTCAGAGGGGTAGGCAGAGGTTTCCATTTGGCATGATTCTGACACACTCTCTCGCCTCCTCCACATTCATATATCTACGCATACATGCTCATCGGTTCAGGGTACTCCTAATTTGGCCAATTTTCAATATATCGCCAATTTGGTCGATGAACTTTCGACTCTTCTATTCACTTTTGCAAAATAAATTTGTTTTGTTAATTAATAAATAATTACTTAAAAGTAAGTCTGAAAACTGTCCAGAACTAAATATTTCAGAGAGTAAAGATGTTTCGCCATAACACTTGATTATTAACGAAAATCCTATCGCAATGTACGTAAAACTTTTGGAACATGTTTGCCTGTGCCATGGACACTGACTAATTGGTACAGTATCATCAATGGCCGACCAGGGTTTACTCAAAGAGCGCTGACAGCATTGAAATTGAGAGTGGAGAGTAACCCTGATAAAAAACCACCTTGGTCATGGTTGAAATGAAAATTAAGCAGTTGATTAAATACCATGCCAGCAGCCAAAGGCTTTATGACTATGTCGACTTTGGGTTTGATATTTCCAATAATTTCTATGAAGCTACACAGCATGGAAAGTACCCATAGCCAACTTTTTGATTACATTTGAATTAAAATCTGAGTTTGATCAGTCATTCAAAAATTGGCCATAATTATATTTACTAATAAAATCATAATTTTATATTACACTAAAAACCCTTCACTGCTGGCCGTATGAGGAAGCTCAAAGTCGCTCAGCGAGCTATGGAGCCGGTTATGCTCGGGGTTTTCTGCATGATAAACATAGAAATAAGGATATTCATAGTAGAACCAGAGATGCCGACATAGCCCAACGGATTAGGAAGGTGAAGTGGCAATGAGCCAGCAATATAGTTCGAAGAATCGACTATCGATGGGGTGAAAAAGGTTCTCGAACTGGCAGCCTTGTACCGGTGGGTGAAGTGCAGAGCGCCCCTCAATAGATGGAGTGACGACCTGGTAGTAAGACATGCTGGAAGTCGATGGATGCAGGTGGATCAGATCCGTGCTTTTTTGTGGCGGCACCCCTTGGGGGAGGCCTATGTTCAGGAGTGGACTTGTGAAGGGTTCATGAATTTATGCAGACTATGATGATTTGTTTATCGATAAAAATATCGACATAGTCCTCGCCTTACGTTGCTTACGCATGTATACAGCGGCACCAGTATATCGACATGTGTACAATTTGATGGTATGCATAAATGCACTGATCACAAACGCAAATGCTGTAGTGTGCGTGCATAGTGATGCGATTCAATTTTGCATTTGTAGTGAAGAATACAGTAGTGGGTTTATCTTGCGCCCCCCTGAAATTTACAGACTATTTGTTTAGGAATTAACGCGCATGGCTGCTCCAGTTGGTTGAATACTCAAAGCACTTGACGGATGGTAAGAACTGACTAATATTTTTCGTCGGCTTGTAGAATGTTCTAATAGAAGCTCGCAACAAGATGTAGCCAATCTTCTCTGGACACCTTTAACATATGGCGGTACAGGAGCCACACGCTGGACCGTGGCAGGCTTCACTCGGTCACTGTGACGTAGGCGCGGGATCCGATGCTTGTTATCGTGCAGAACCTGCTTGACAGACGGACCACTTGGCAGTCAGGTGTTTGCTGTCACAGATCCCATAATACAAAAAAAAAGATGTCTGCAAATATAAGAAATCATTAAATAGAAAATATATTATTTTTATATTTTAGCTAAACTAATAACGATAAATTACAAAATATGATATACAGCTGTGTCTGTAATGCCATATGATTTACCGTTCGTTATCCGACATTACAGGAGAGTCGATATCCCGCTTGGAGTGCGAGCACGTGTTCCACTCGGCGTGCATCCGTCCGTGGCTGCAGCTGCACGCCACATGCCCGATCTGCCGGCGCTCGCTGCTGCCCGACGCGCCCGCCGCTGACGCCGCGCCGCTGCCCGATACGCCCCCGCGTGAGTACACCTGCGTCATACTCGTGCGCTCCTAGTACACCTACCTGTAGCTGCACGCCACGAGCCCGATCTGCCGGCGCTCGCTGCTGCCCGACGCGCCCGCCGCTGACGCCGCGCCGCTGCCCGATACGGCCCCGCGTGAGTACACCTCTATCATACTCGTGCGCTCCTAGTACACCTACCTGCAGCTGCACGCCACGAGCCCGATCTGCCGGCGCTCGCTGCTGCCCGACGCCCCCGCCGCTGAAGCCGCGCCGCTTCCCGATACGGCCCCGCGTGAGTACACCTCTATCATATTCGTGCGCTCCTAGTATACCTAACTGCAGCTGCACGTTACGTGCCCGATCTGCCAGCGCTCGCTGCTGCCCGACGCGCCAGCAGCTAACGACGTGGCGCTACCCGAGACGCCCCCCGTGAGTACACCTCCATCATACTCGTGCGCTCCTAGTACACCTACCTCTTACTCGTGCGTTCCCTAGTACACTTACTTCATACTTGTGCACTCCTAGTACACCTACCTCTTACTCGTGCTCTCCCTAGTACACCTACTTCGTACTCGTGCGCTACTAGTACACCTACTTTGTAATCGTGCGCTACTAGTACACCTACTTCGTACTCGTGCGATCCTAGTACACTTACTTAGTACTCGTGCGCTCCCTAGTTAATAAAAATCATCATAAAAATTACATAATTAAATTATATTAATATTATATATTAAATAAATTACATACAAAATTCATTATACCTTTATTTATAAATAATCTACGACTATGTAAACATTCATAATTAATATTTGCTAAACAAAATATACCAGATGAAACAATCAAGCTAAAAAATTCAAAATTATATATATTATATATTAATATATTAAAAAATTACATACAAAATTTATTATACCTTTATTTATAAATAATCTACGACTATGTAAACATTCATAATTAATATTTGCTAAACAAAATATACCAGATGAACGTACTCGTAATCAAGCTCTCTCTAGTACACTTCCGTCATACTCGTGCGCTGCCTAGTACACCTCTCTCGTACTCGTGCACTCCTAGTAAACTCGTGTGCACTCACTTCTACATACTCTGTAATTCGAGCACTACCTAATATCGTGTGTACGCGTGTACACACTTGTCCCTCGCTTACACATACTGATAAATTTTAAATTTTCTATAATCTCATAGACCTAGTCCCACATATTTGAATTTAAACCTCTATCTACATATCCTTATTACTTTTATCCCAAAGTACGGGTCGGCTTTGTACTTCCACGATCAGTGCGTCAATATTTACATTGGCGACCGCTTGGGCCGCAGCGTCGTCGAACTCGCGCGGCGACAACATCCTCTTGTGGCTGCTCGGGTACTGCTGACTGCGGCGTGCTCAGGTTTTTCTGCCGCAGTGCGCGGGGTTTCACACAAATTCATAGGATGCAAAAAAACCGTACGCCGCCGCACCGCAACAAATCTGTGATAAATTACAGATATGGCTCGAATTTTCGTTTTATATTCGGTATTCGGCAGCTTTACAGAATATTCGTATTCGCCTATATCGCCGAATATTCGTTAAAGTGGTACTCAAAGTATCCATTGTATGTGAAATGTACGAATTGAGTAATGCCATGTCTTTCATAATTTTACTGTGAAAGTATATTTTATTTATGGGTTAAATCTTATGTTATGTTTTTGAGGCACTGTAAATTTATTTCCAATTATAGCAAATAGAAAGCTTGATAAAATTTTATTTGGAATCAAACAAAGAAACATTACATTACAGTCGTCGGTTTCTCTAAAATAGGTGCAAATAGTAGATCTCCTGCCACTAATTTTCATCACATACTTATCAATTTTGACTAAGAATAACTTAAAGAAATACTTTTTTTTCTCACAAAAATAGTCAAAACAAAAGCATGTAACGACAATTTGCTCAGTACTAGGTGATGCAATAACATATCAGGTGTGGCGGGGGAGTGCGGATATGGGTCCGGCCCTAGTCCCGCGCACTTTTCGGTAACAAGTTCCGACATAAATTGGTTAGGTATGTCTGGGTAATCCTGCCGAATAATGTTCGGCCGAATATTCGGTTCGGTAAAAATTTTACTGAACCTTCGGCCGAATATTCGTATTCGGTGAAATCTATATTCGGCCCATCACTATATTTTAGCGCATTGCGGTTGTTCAACCGCACTTCCACTGTGGTTAATATAACACAGATTTTCGCGGGAGCCGCACCAACTGTTGTCGCAGTGCGCGCAGAACTTATTGACTATGATTTAAACACATCAGGTAAGTTTGTAAAACAAAACCTGTCAAAAGAATTAACAACACAGAAAATAGACTTTTGTTGCAGTACTAGCTTGTTTGTTCATACCTATTATAATTTTATTGCAGATTTTATTGAGGACTCTCCACCAAGCAGCCCTACAAGAAATATGAATTTAGGTACGTTAGCCAAGAGCACAATCCATGCACTTTATAGATGTTCCATACTATATTTTTAATACAGTATTTCTAATTATTTCTAATTGAAGTGTCAGAACAATTTTACACACGTAATAATCATTTTTATTATGATGATACTGTTAGGCTAATGTCATTTAAACGAACGGACTAGTCTAGTCGAAATCTCCGAAATATAATCTAATCTTGATTATTATATATATATATATAAAAACTGTTACACTGCACACTAGTATTTATATATATATCGTGGGGGATTTACAAACATAAATTTCACAAGGACACACATCCAGACCCGGAACAATTGTAGGCCATACAAATATTTGTTCCGTGCGGGATTTGAACCCGCGGCCCTTAGCGCTGTAACTCATTGCTAAGCCACTGCGCCATGGAGCCGTCAAAAATCTTAGCTTGCATATGCGTAATCATAATCTTAACTTGTTAGTTCAGAAGGTTTCAAAATCATATTGGTGGTGAGGTGGTTAGAATGCTTTTGTTAGCCCGTAGCTCTTATAAAATACCACATCGGTGTGTATATGTGGAATGGATAATTTTTTTTATAGGTTAAATGCGATTATTTCCGTGGATGGATCTTCTCGAGCTTATTGCATGTCACTGTTGATCTGGCTTGGCAAAAATTTTGCTTTTCTAAGTGCTGTCTCGGAGCATTCCTCAGCAGACACGATATTTTTTGTATTCATATGACTACTGATAAGCTACATTAAATATCAGAAAATATCATTTTTGTGTATTCTGCGGCGTCGCCTATTGCAGACATTAACAGCTCTGACGAGAATGTTGGAGACAAATGTATATAGAACCTCCACCCTATTCTACATTAACACCAAGATCGGTTAGCATTTTAATGCACGTGTGTATGAAAAACAATACATAAACTCTTCTCGCAATGACAAGTGTGTGAAATCTCCTGAATCCCACATTCAGCTTCACGGAACCATTGCTGAGAAGAGCATTGAACCTCCAGTTTCTTCTCCGCTAATTCCAAGGTCCAAGTAGAGCTCCATCCTCGTCACCTTTGCGTCCAATGTCACAAACTTATTCAATATATTAACGGAGAGTTTGAAAATTACTGCAGACCTCCCAAACACATTCAGCATTGATGAAAACCTTCGAACAGTTTCGTCAGCAACTTCCAAAAGTACTGAAATCATGTTCAATAGTACGATGACTCAGTATAGGCTCCAGGCTTTGTTTGTTACAATAATATTGGTGGAAGTGATACTAGTTCAGGAGTGTCAGAATCGTTGATTACCACAATATCAGAAAACGTATTACGGGAAATGCCTGCTGATGCGAATGAACTTCAAACCTCCAGCCATTCTGACCAAACCCCACCAGTGAACACTTCTCAAAACACTAGAAAATCGCAAGATAGACCAAAAAAGGGAAGAAAGATAAAATACGGTGAACACACCTGATAAGAAAGGAAGAAGAGGAAATAGCAAAATGTATTCTATGTTGACTAGGAAACAAATGATTGACCCATAGCCATTTGTAGATTATAACTGCAACTGCCTAAAAAATGTCCAGAGAATATTTCTAGCGAGAATTGATTAATCGAATTCCAAAAATTTTATGCTTTAGGCACTTATGAAGCACAAAATATGTTCATTGCAGCTTGCGTGAAAGAAATACTAATAAAACGTTCATACATGTCGGCTAGTACTAGTAGTTCAAAGAAGACATTTACATGAGAATATCATCAAAAGTATGTACGTGTTTGCAAGAAAATGTTTCTAAACACTTCAGACAACCTCCAAAAAGGTAAATACATAACTGTGCGTGGAAGCGTGGAAGACCTTTGTCTTCCACGTTTCCACGCTATAATAAAGGCTATAATAAAGGCTATAATAAAGCCATTTCTGAAATCGATTTATCGTGAACGTAATACAGAAACTTTCTACATAATATGTATCTCACTATCGGCGAGCAGATTGTAACAAAGTAAAATTCTTAAGATCTGACATGATTTCCTAAAATTTTTATCATATACAGCGACGAAGCGAAATCAGCTGAATAGAAAGTTCTCTATTTCCCAAAAGTAAAACGTGTGTTCCTAACAAATGTTAATTTTCGCACAAAGCCTTTAAAAAAGGATGCATGCATCAAATGCGACCACCATTCTAGTAAAAAGAAACAAGGCTTAGAAGAAGAAAAGGCCTTGGTGGAGAATGCTAACTGTGAGCACTTACAAAAAGCAAAATTATTGCAAAACCAACTCAAAAGTGACATGCAATTAGCTCGAGAAGATCCATCCATGGAAACTATCACATTCGATCTCCAACAAACTTTAGCCCTTCCGTGTATACCCACCAATGTGGTATTTTATAAAAGGCAGCTATGGGCTTACAACTTAGGAATCCACTCAGGAAGCAATGACCAGGTCCATTGGAACGTGTGGGTCGAAGGAGAAGCGGGTAGAGGATCTCAAGAAGTGAGCTCCTGCCTAATTAACCATGTAATTGAGAGACTTGGCGATGGCGGTGTGAAGAACCTTATACTTTGGAGTGATTTGCGACGGTCAAACCCGGAATATAAAAAGCTAACGTTGATGTTGAAAGCAACAGACTGCGCTTCATGTAATCCGGCCATAGTTTCTTACCTAATGATAGCGTATGCAAGATCCTTCGTTATGGCGAAAATGTTGCAGCATTAATTTTGAAATAAATGTATGGTAAAGTTGAGGATTAATGTTAAGTATTATGTTAGACGAAAACACGATTCCGTAAAATTTTTCTCTATAAAAAAATCCATAGTTACCTCCAAACTGAACAATAAACCGCTGGTATTCATAAAATACTTTACATTAGATCATGAAACTTTGCATACTAACTGAATTAACTATAAAGCAGGGTTTATGTTTTTTATTTTTTTAAACTACCATTATTTTCACTGTAAAAAGAAATTACCTAAACTATCGGCGTCTTGAAGCTTATTTTCTGCCGCCCGATCAGTCTTGCTTCGGCTTTCGAACGTGAAAGGTGTGTCGCTTACGATCAGAATACTACACAGTGCGCAATATAACGACGTAAAATTAAAATGGGAAATAACCGTAATAAAAATAAGAAGCGACTGGGTTGGCGTAAAGAAATAGGCATAAATATGATAAAACTTATGAAATAAGTATCTAACGACCTATCTACTTACAGCAACGACTACACAGCCCGAATAGACGCCTAATGTATGTACTTCTGCATCCAAACCTGTCTGTCAAAAGTCTGAGGTAAGCGGTACGGGGGAGGCGGGTTGAAAGCACGCTAATTGGTTGAAATCAAGGTTGCAACACTTGCTAATAATCAAATAGTGATGGGAACTTTAACTTATAAATTTGGTACCAAGTCTACTTAATCAGTACCTGAATTATATTCTACTATAAATTAGTACAAAATAAAAAATAAAACAAGGAAGTTTTATTTAAGTAGGTATCGTATTTAGAAAAATACCTATAATTTTTTTGTTTTAAAGAATATTTTTTAATATAACAAGCTTTCTTTACAATATTGAAATAATAATAGAATACTATTAAAAATAAAATAGCAGCAGTTATTGAAATTGTCAAGCTCACTTCCGTTTCCTACTTTTCTTGACATGGCGTCTTAGCAGTAAAGAGAGCGGAGTGCCGTCTATTAAAATTATATCAATTTTATTATACTTTTTTTTTTAAAAGTTTTGAATAATTTGATTTAATTATTAAATCAATTAATTCAAATATGGATTAACGTACATTCACTAAAAAAATTCAGCTTACACCTATGTCGCTTACAGTATAAGTCTAGAACATTCACGATAACATGCATAATATTTATAGTTTAACTGGTACAGCACTAGTTACACGTGCCGGTAATTAAAGAAAAGTATAGCAACAATGAACTGCATTGAAAAGAAAGGGATGCATAGTCCGAAAATATCCGAAGATGTCCGAATAAATCAACGCGAGTTGCTTGTGACAAATATAGGTTGAGCTCTGATTTAATTTTAATTAATGAATTTGGAAATCAAATGACATCAAATCAAATCAAATCAAGTGATGCCATTTTTTTTTAAATTTAACATTTGGCTACTAATTCCGCACTATTTTATTGTACAGTGAACCATGTTGCGCATCTGTTGTATTTTATTTTGTCGAAAATTCACGAGTCTCAAGCAAGATGTTCACGGGTCAGGTATGTGGTCGGTACTAAAGTAGATCGTGCGATCGTTTTCTTAAGTCAGACGTATTTGTCTAACGTGTTGACAGAAAGTTGACAGAAAATTCGCCTTGCATGTGGCGTCTATTCGGGTTGTGTAGTTGTTGACTTACAGTATTAGTGATTACAAACATGTCGGTACATAGCATACGGCGCACGGGGAAGTGAGGGCGAAATTAGAATTTGAGCTGACTTACTATAGCCCCTTAACAGCAGATAGTAAAATCTAACTAAAATCCAAATAATTTAACTGTCCTATATTGTCATCAAAACTAACCTTAACATTGCATAATAAAGTTGTTTATTTCAAATAACTTCCCTATTTATTTCTACGCACTTTAGAAACAAAAATCTAATTATCTCTTAAGTCCCTTTTTGTGGGTTGGTTCTAGTTTGCATGACTATGTCGAGCTATAAAAATAATGAGAATGGCATATCTGAATGTTAAGTTATATGAATTAGCGTTGGTTTAATTAATTTTTGTAGTATTATATATCATTGACGATTATAGAATATCATCTTGGTTAATCCCGCTGGTAAGAAATGCAGAAAGTCTATGAATACAGGTGGCTGAAGATCATGCTTTGTAGCATTCCTTGGCCTTTGTTCAGCAGTGAATCCTGGGTGATCATCCAATCCAATCAATGATGATGACGATGATGATCCATAAATGTGTTGGCACTTTTAGAAAGTAACAAACACAAAATACTAGTAATTTGCGTTGGGGTCATTACAAAATAATAGTATTTTGTAATGACCCCAACGACCCATGGTGGTTAAAAATAACTATAATTAATTTAGTAGTGCCAAATCGATTGACAAAAACGGATAATGAACTTTCGGTCGTTTAACCAGGGGTTACAAACCTTCAATATATAGGCACATTTTATATGTAGTACTTTATTTATAATGATTTTTTTATTATTTTTTATAATGATTGATATAATATATATTTATTAACTATTATTAAAAAGTTATGTAAAAGATCGCTGTAGAAGAAAAATCATCTATTGTTATAAAGTACTTTATTAATTTAATAACAAAAAGCATTGATTTATAACACATATAAGGATTCGAGTGATAACGACACCGAATAAGTACGTATTTATTCAAAAGATAAAACTTAAATATTATATAAGAACTTTATTTTTATTCGGTGCAATCATTACCGGTCCAAAAAAGGTGACGTATCTCTGGCTGCCATTGTCATGTTTCTTTTAGAACGAACTGACGTAACTCGCGTTTTGTTTATTTTAAAGGGATGAATTTGCAAAAGCTCAATATGATGATTATATTGCTTCAAATATTTTTTTTTTTTAAATATGAAACTGTTATTAACTGAATTGCTGCGTTGATTACCATAAATTGAAATATAAAATATAATACATTTTTCGCGTTGTACCGTAAGATACAAAACATATGTGCTAACCTATAAGTATGAATAATATCAATATTTAAATATTGTTATCACATCTAAATTGAGATTTTGTAAGTTACGCCTTTTGACACTCGGCTCATATCTGAGGTCGTTGTCCGTTTTTCTCAATCGATTTGGCACATACTATAGTGATGGTATTCAGGGTTTAAACACACTATATATTGGCAGATTTACTAAAATAATAGAAAAAATACATACAGGAATATGTTTATTAATTAATTAAATATTTTCTTTAACAATTAGTTCTGGAATATAGCATAAGCGACTGAGTGTGTTAGTGTTATGCAAATTATTTTATAACAATTTATATATTTCCTTTCAGCGTCACTTCCCCGTGTATTACTACGGCGAATTCCAAGAAGCCAAGTGTCAGGACCACAAACACAAACATGGGACTCACTTGCAGACTCAAGTAGTTCGTCAGGTTCCACAACTACAACATCTTCAGTTACAGCTGGGGGAGTTTGGGCTCCCCAGGCCCGTTCTACGAGCAACTCTACCGGTACCAATTCAACAACATCCCTCAACTCTAGTAATGAGAGAGAGCTGAGGGAGCGACAGTACAACATGGATATAGACTACGACTAGACTTCCTCTATAGTCATGTGTTTCTGCTATCACGCACAGAGTGACTCATGTACAATTTTCATTAGTGTGATTTCTTTTATTTTCGTTTTAATTTAAAATTTTAATTTTTTTTTATAAAGTGATGTTCAGTGTTTTAATTTACATAAAAAAGTTAGTAAATTATATAAAAGGAATGGTGCCTTTGATTTGTAATGCAGTGATGGTCAAAAAAAGCCATGGAAAATTGTGACGTATTCACGGTCTTTCGCCTAATATTTTTATTTAGTAGTATCATCCATAATATGAATCTTTATGTAAATTTTGTAAATATTAATCATAATTGTAAGCATTTTTTTTTGCTGAAGTTTGTTTGACTGGTATACATTTTGGTATTATATGTTTACCACAGGTAAAGTATGTATCTTTATTTGGCTTATATTTCAAGAAATTCTTGAAAATATCATAAATTCATCATTTTCACTTGGATTTTCAAGTATACAATTTTTAATGTTCTATTTTTTATTCAATCTGTGTCATATTCCTACATTATAATCTCAGATAAACAAAGAAAGTTAGACCAAGTGGTGCGTGCATTCCAATTGATCATGCCTAACTTCCTGATACGCATTCACACACACATTTTTCTGCTTTCTACAGCTCGTAGAATTCCACTGCTGGACTCACACATATGCACTTAAAGCCATTTTATTACTTGCAAATGATTTAAGTTTCATATGTGTGCATGAGTGTATATACTTACAATATGTTGAGCATGGTTTTGGTGTCACCTGACGTGTAGGCAGTGTTTCATCTATCTTTCTTTTTAGTCTGAGGTTGTAAACATTTCCTATTTTCCAATGTAATGCTCATAACAATAACAGTATTGTCATAATATGTCTATAGTTGATGAGTGCTTCGTTAAGTGTAGAGCATGGAGGTTAGAGAGAAGGAGAACGATCGCTATAGAAAATAGTGTCCCAGAAATATGGATAAAATAAGTGAGGCGCTGCGATCGCTAATTTGTCTCAATAAAAGTCATTTTCAGTCTATTTTTCCGATCAGATGCTAAACCACCCACGCACAATACAATATTTCACCATTTTTTAATGTTTCTTTTTGTCAAAAATTAAAAAATTACAGAGCACAATTATTTTCTCATCAATGCCGAGAAGAAAATTTGTACATTATTCAACTAACTTCATCTACTTGTACTCATAAACAGCTAACTTCGCAGATACTACTTACCGACGGCAGTTCAGGGACAGGCGCGCTATGCTTTAACACGTAGCGATCGTTCTCCTTCTCTCTAACCTCCATGGTGTAGGGCATATACATTGACACATATTTATTTTTCGCTTATCTGTGTCCACAAGTTGCGTTAACTCTATCAATTGATTATTAATCTGTAAAAAGTTTTTGTTATTAATCCATTACCTTAACTGTGTTTACTCTTGTTATTTGCTCAAGTGTATAATATTAAATTTACTTGGGTGTAAAATAAGTTGAGAAACATTAAATTTTAAAGATTATTACGTTATTTTTATTTTTAATAATCACGGGCGTATGTATTGTTTTTTTTACAGGCATGAAAAGCGTTGCTTTTATTTATTATTGCAAAAATTCGTTGACGTGTGATAGCAACAAATGATAATAAATAATCAGAAATAATACTAAAATATTGTGCGCAGCCCGAGCCCGATTATTAGGTTTTTAAGGGCACATTACCAACTAGTGAAGGTAATAATCGACTAATGCGATCGTTTTAAATTAGCCGTTGCCAATGACTATTGTGCCCATAAATTAACCAACGGTAAAGATTTGTCGTTGATTCAATATTACGCGTCTATAATTTGATTACTACTTCTTCGCTGATGTCATGAGTGGCATTTACACTATCGTACAGTCTGATTCGTATTGTGATACGATATCTTGACTTTCTCATTGGTTTGGTGGTCGTAAACGCTCTTAGTAATAACCTGGAGTAAGGAAGTTATGGTATTTCACCCTCATACCTCGGAAAGCACGTAAAGACGTTGCCTGATCTTCCTCCGGTCGTTTTGGTTGGCCGTCCTATCATCATACTATAAGAGTGAGGGAATAGAGAGTGCACTTGTGGCGCACATACACTCGGGCACTATAATCCTGTCCTGTGCAGATGGTTAGTCTCCGTTGTGAAATTCGGTCTAGAGGATATTATTATTGACAAAACAGGCTCCTTTCCACGCTTTTTGTCCCGCTGTCGACTTTCCCACTACAATTACAGGTGTATCAGGCCTCTGTTACTCTTGCTACCTGCGTGAAATAATTACTTACAATCGCGCGGACCTTAGGTTACATACGCAGTCAGGGCTAGCGCCTTTTAGGCAAGTGAATTTTAAAAGATTTTAACACTTTACGTAAATAGTTTTATGTAAATACTTGTTGAAATAATTTTTGTTTAGTATTTAGTATATTTAATTGTAGGATCAAATAGTTGAAAAAGTTTTAATGTAATTTAAAAAAAAATTGATGAATTATAATTGCAAAACGTCATTTCTACTATAATTGTTGCATGGATGAATGCTTAATGAGCACACAAAAGGATTCAGATTTATAATTTTTTTGTATACCTAAGGATAATTATAGGTGAATTTATTTTATATTTAATTTTTTTGTTAGGTACTTAAAATTATTAAGTACTGATGTAAGTAGTAGTTAGGTAGGTATGGTCAACCACGAAATTATACGGATTGTGTACAAATCTATACATAAACAACCAAGGTATTTCCGTAGCGAAAAAAGTAATAATTTAACTAAATAAGTACCTAAGTACCTAATACAGTATTCTGTTGAAATTTACTTTACTATCGAAATATCTACTTACTTACCAATACTTTTCTTTTTAATTAAAATATTTTAAGTTATAACGTCACAAAATAATGAAATTAAAGGTTTGTTTAGAAGATTTTTAACTAAAAAGAATACGATCATATTTCTGTTAGTAATCGTATTTTGGGTTTATTTGTTGTTTACTTATTTCTTCCGAGTCAAGCATCGCAATTCGTGACAAATGGTCTTGCAAGTTGCATGCGTTGGGCGTTACAGAACACACATATAGCGAAAATATGGTCAATCGATCGTAGTCTGAATAGGATAGATAGATGGAATAGGTACCTTACCTGAGTAACTTATTTTCCATTTCGCAATGTATTTTTTTACTCTTTATTGACAGCCCTTAGTAACCACGGAAAGTCCGCCGTGACGTAGGAAGGACAAAAGATGCAAAGTAATACCACAGCTTAAATACCTTAACTTAGACTTACCTTAGGGAAACGAATGTACTTGTGCTTGAGCAACGGTGGGGATACTGCGGGGCAGGGGTCGGACCGAACTTGTGCCGGCGCACTTCACTGACTCTGATAGACCAATACATAAGGTTGGCGCAAGAGTGTTTTATAGTACTTGTTTAACTAATTTTAAGTGGCGTTTTCGAAAAATATAATATCTAGAATGGTGAATTAGTTTTATATGAGTTACTAAGTAAAATGAAATTCAAATGACAGCCATGCTTATGTTTCCCTCATTTTTTTGTTGATATAATTGTTTATTCGAATGCGAATACATTACATAATTAAATGTAACAATCGAAAACTGAAAACATCGTTAAAAAGAAAGTGTTACGTAAATATTTGGCAGTGGAACACTTGTAAATGTGTTTTCTCTTGTAGTAATAAAAAATATCTTGTTCAATAAATGTTTTTAACCTATAAATATGTACATAATGTTAATAAATGATAATAAGTTTAATACTCGTAATGCAAACATCGCGAACACGTTCCCTCCAATAGAGACAGCGTTTTGAAACCTAGTATTATTTTTTTTAGGTTAATTTTTTTTTCTTTCCTTTCTTCCCAATTCATATCATGCATAAGTCTATTTCCCATATTCTAATCGCACTGTATTTTTTTTTCATCCACCATCGAGGTTTCCTTCAGTTTTTCTTTTTCTTATTTATAATATGTTGCACAATGAGAAGTGCCGCAGTGGTGGTGTACACGCCAGCTGTGTTTCGAGACATGGCGGATACTGGCTGGCCGACTTGCGACTTGTCATCACGCGTTCATAATCCCGCAATGCATAAAGGTGCCCTGTACCCGAATTCACCTGTACGCGTATTCAACGTACCTAGATTACGCGTACATTGGAACGCGTAATCCGTTCAAGGCTTAACTAATATTTGATATTTAATTAATTTAACTATTATTTGATATTTTCATACAGTATAACATGGCGTTGCATCGCATCGCATCGGTTTTGTCGCTTACCTAGTTACAAGGCAACTTGAAGCGGCCATTTTCTATTTCACGCGACCGCCTAAACTTCCGAACAGTCTCCGTATCGAACTGTCCGTGTCGGTGCGAGATTTTGAATTCAACTTTTCATAACATTAAATTGTTTTTACGTAAAATTTTGTTCTTTGGTTATTTCGTGCTTTTTATGTATTCTCTCTTCAAGGCAAGATTAGAGTGAGTAGGCTTTAGTGAATCTAAACAAGTGCCCTTAACCTTTACCACTTTATCAGGTGGAGTACTTAGTCAAAATATTTTTATTTAAAATTGAGCTTTATAAAGCGCTACTTGAAAGTAAAAAAAAGTCAAGCACCAGTTTAAAATAATTTAAAAAATCCACACAACTATATAAAAGGTATTCTCAAATAATTGGAATTTTTTTCATCGCAAATTCCTTAAACAGGTGATGAAATTGTTATGTTACTATATTACAATTATACCAACCCAGATACTGGACACCTGAGCAGAAGATCTGGGCAGAAGCGGCGAAGCATCAACAGCCAAATATTATAAAGTACAAACTTTTTGAAGCCTATTTAAAATTCATAATGCATATGAAGATTTGGCGAGCGACCCAAGAAGTTTAAATCTACTTGTTCAATTGTGTGTCTGCTACGCATGGGTAACAATTCTTAATCTATATCAAATCGTATCTATGTATGGGATTTTGATATCTTTTATTGAATTCATATA